TCTTCAGAAAACTAAGCATCTATGAAAACCTCCCAGGAGCTATGTGGTTCTCAGGAATTACAGACTGCGTCTTCAAGTCACTCACACCACATACAATTTGATCTAAGGATAGAGCTGGGGATGTGGGGGTGGGGGTGGGTGGTCATAGAGAATAGGAGATTAAGGCAAAGAAATTAGAACATCATATTCTGAATGTATGAGGATATAAAATCCTCATAAAACATTATTTCCTGAATCATAGAGCTCAGCTAATGATTTAGCATTGTTTGAATTCTTTTGTTCACAGGTTGTAAGAACATTTGACAGGGTCTCACAATTGTACTTTACTATATAGAGACATAGGTCTGTCTCTTCGTAGTCTTTAAAATTCATTATAAGTCATATAAATCACTCTTAAATATTTGAGCTCCAAAGTAAATAGGGAACTAAAGATATCTAGACCAAAAAATGAACATCTTTGTACTGCAAAATATTTAAACTTAGTATTTTGTCTCCTCCTGTCTCAACATCCCCACCCCACCCCCCCACAATACAAGCTGTGAGCACCACACCCAGGTGACCAGGTACTCCAATATGATATGGTAGGTCCCACCACACATTGCCTTCTCCGCCCTCCCCTTACCATGACCTAGTGAAATTCACTAGAAAGGAAATCCCCTCATGCCTTTTCTTCTATACACTTTATATCTTATACACTCTATCCTTATCTTATATACTTTATATATCTTATATAGTCTATCCAAGTAGTTCTTCTATACTCTGTCCTCCTTATACGATCTTTCTTATATACTATCTTGCTCTCTTTGGTACCCAATTGCTATATGTACATACACATACATATGTACGTATGTATATACATACGTACATATAAAAAAAAAAAAAAGATTGGCTCTCTGCAGCTTATGATGGACCCAAGATTAAGAACCTGACAAAGGGCACTACTGGTCTAGAAATCTGGATCAACCAATAAGCAAGATATTTTGAAAGCAGCACAAATTTTACTGCTTAGAGCAGGCAAGTAAGGAACAGAGAATCTCAGTTAGATAAAGTCAGGCCCTCTGATAATGTCATTTTGCTCAACATCATTTCATTAAAACTGGATGAGAAAATATAATTGTAGCCAATGTTCAATGAAAAAATGTTTCATTATATCCGGTTTCATTACACATTGTTTTGCTTAAAGTTGCGGTTTCCAAGAACCTATCAACATTAAGTGAGGATTTACTGTACATATTTAATTAAACCAAATCAACAAATGCATAAACAAATTTATGTGACATTCTCCAGAGTAAAGAATTTATATAGAATTCAGCATGTTAATGTGATGAAAGCATGAAGAAATTAGTTAAAACAGGAAGGCATAAAAATTAATGCAATTAAAATTTTCCAGTTCAAGTATCTGTGTATGACTATATAATAATACATAGTCAAATGCAGAAGATTATAATGGGCATATATCCTAACCAACTCAGTGAAAATAAAACATATCTCACTCAATGCAATAGAAAGTTTTAATTTACAGAATTCATTATCCTTTTAAATGGTGAAGCAAATACATTTAGAAGAACACTATAATGAATTCTTTTATGCAAATAGTGACTGTTTTAGGTTGATAATGTGCCACCCCACGCCAAAATTCATGTTAAGTCTTAACCCCCCAATACTTCAAAATTCCTTCCACAGAAACAATGCTATAGCAGATGTAAAGACTTAAGATGAAGTCAAACCTGTGTAATTTGGGCCTCCAATCCAACACGACTGGTATCATAGAAAACAGAAAACAGTGGATACAGATAGATAAGGAAAATACCATGTGATTATGAAGCCAGGGATGAGGGGTATGTGTCTACAAAGCAAGACAGACCAAAGATTTCCAACAAACCGCCAGAAGCAAGGAGAGAAGACAGGAACAGGTTCTTGCCCAGCACCTTCAGCAGGAACATGCCGCTACTAACACCTTCACCAAGTCTCCAGAAATAATAGCTGTGTCTGCTTAAGGCAGGTAGTTTGTGAAACTTCATTGCAGCAGTTCGAGAAAACACACCTATGGCCTAATACATTTTACTCCACAACAAACTTTCATGTTATTATAAAGCAAGGTGTATCCAGACAAAATGCTTGACAAAGTTAAAAAAAAAAAAGTATATATTTTTCATTAGAACAGTATTTTAATGGGAACCGGACAGCTATTTTTACCCAGTCTGCTGCCAGTTTAAACCAACAAGTGAAAACAAAAAATTGGTATTACTCTTCCTAAGATGAAATTTCAATATGAATAAAACTGATTTGCCCTATTTGTGGTGGTAAAAATTATCTTACTTATGCTAATTGTATGACAGGTTGTATCTATGGACAACTGAGTAACAAAATATACAAAAGTAAAAAGATGATCAATTTTTGTTATGTTAATATATTCTTAAACTGAAATAATTTCCCCTGTAATAAATTTTATTTGGCAAAAGTACTTCTTTTCACTCCCAAATCACAGAGACGTTGAAAATAACTCAGCAACAAGGTAGAAATGGATCAGTTCTTAAACCAAAAGAACAGTTGTGACAGAAATATCAAAACAGTGAGCAAACATTAACGGTACGCTGCTTTATTAATATAAATACCATCCTTGCTTAACATAAGCAAAAAACTAATTTTATGAAGAGAAATATTTGCTGAAGACGAACCTTCCAGTTATTAACACATGCTACATAATGCAGTATAACCATTCTCAAAAGGAAATGATTCTAGGATTACTCTGTGGACACAACTGGATTCATGGAGGTATATGGGGAAAGGTCTATAAAAGCAGGACATGGTTATTTCACTTGCAAATATTCGTACTGGCTTTACATTCCTTATATGCGCAGGTAGGATAACTTTTGTTTGGGTTCTCCAAGACTGTGCCTTATTAAGTTATGTACAAGATAGCCTACATGTTTCACCTTTAAAATGAAAGGTTTTTCAACAAAAAAGAAAAAAATGATGCAGTGAATTTGCATCTGGACTTGGTGTGATAAACATTGATCTTTTCACAAGCAGACTCATCTGTACTAAGTTTTGTATCACAATTCGATTTTCTATTCTGAACTTCAGAGCTTCATATAACTTCAGGATTTAGCTAAAAAAGAGCTGTCTGATTATTTTTTGTTAAGATATCAAAGCAAAAAATTGTAGCTTTTAGAATACCTTCAGGTCTCATTACTGGTATAAGGGATGGTCCCTTGTAATAATGACAGTATATTTAAACACTTATTGAACACATTTTATGTGTTCTACAAACTCACTTTCACATCAATTCTAAGAAATGGGTACTATCCTTATAATGACAGATTCAGAAGTTAAGTAACTTGCTCAAGGTCAGAGAGAGCTCAAGGCAGGAGGAGGAGGGTCAAGCCTTAGCCTATCCTACTCCAAAGTCAAGGTTCCTCAGTGACTAGGGCACCAAGATTTGCAAAGGAAGGCCTCAGAATGGGAAAAAAAAAAAAAAAAGTGGTGCTAAGGTCTGCTTTGAAGAAGTGAAAAGTACCTGAAATTGAAAACGTTAATAACATCAAAGAAGTCCCGCCTGAGAATTTATGGGCAGCACATAGCTTTGAACATGAAGGAATCTGAAGCGGATAGTATATTAGAGGCCTTCCAACTTACACCAGCAACACATTTATATTTGCAAACATTTCTGGCAAAGATGTATCAGAAAGGTTCCTATAAAAAGTAAAAATAATTACATTAATGGGCATTTTTACTGCAATTATCTTAGTCTTTTTGAGTTCCCAAACTGACAGCTGGAACTGCTTCTATAAAGGCTAGTGTATGGTGACAGCGATGGCACGTGGGCCTACAGGAGGTGAATTTCATGTTGCATCTGTCACCATAATCTAACCAAGAATCTATAAAACACAACCCTCACCTTTTCTGGATGTGGTTTATAACATAGACTGTCAATGTGGCTGCCGAGAGGGAAACCTCACTACTTTGATAAATTATGAGAAAGCGCCCTATTAAGGCTGTTATGAAAAAAGATTTAATGGTAAATGACGAGACATAGTTAAGGAAATCAATAAAGTTCTTAGCTAAAGATCCCTTAACCTAGAACTGCATGACAAGGGTTCTTTTTTTAAAAAATGTAACCATCCTCATTATATAAGAAATAGGTCATGTTGTAAGGATTCCCTAAGTTTTTTCCCCTATCCAAATTTCTTCAACAGATCCCCAAGAGGCTGAAATTACCAGACTCTGAATTAACTATGTTTTCTATAATTACAGCTAATGAACCCCACAGAGAAAGATGGGTATATCCATGCCATAAAAGCCTCTCTAAAAACAATCCCTTAAAATACATGATGACTTGGTTCTAGAAAAGCTGCCAAATGCATGGAAAATTTTTCAAGACATTCCGCCGGTTTGGTCAAGCCTTGGTCTCCAAGGAGTTTCACCACCGAGCTCTCCAAGTAAAAGTTATGAAAATGCATGAGCTCCCCAGAAGGTACCCCCCATCCCTCCTTTTCCCCTGGCGCCTGCAGACGACGCAAAGAGGGGTTCAGGGGTTCAGGGCTCCCAGGCCGGGCGCGCCTACTGCAGGTATCTCCGCAGGCACCTCCGTACGGGGCCGCCTGGCGCCCGCACCTCCCGGGACGGCGGGCGGGCACCGACCCCGCAAGGTCACCGGGGAAAAGGCGACTTTACATAACCTCCCTCCATCCCCATCCCCATCCCGGCCCCCGCGCGCCGGGGCGGGGTGCAAGTCGCGGTCCCGTTCCTCGCCGCGCCCGCGCGCGCCGGTGCGGGGGCGGCGCGCCGGGCGGCCGGGAGGGACGCGGGGGACCCCGCAGCGCAGCGCCGCGCCGAGCCCGGGGTGGGAAGGGCGGGCGGGCTCCCCGGGGCGCCGTCAGGGCGGGCTGGACGCGGGGTCGGGGCCCCCCAGGGCGCCCCGCCTGCGCCGGGCACCGAGCGCGCCCCGCGCGGCTGTGCCCGGGACCGCCCCGCGGCGCACCTGTCACGCGCCTCACCTGAGTGGCTTTGTGGAATTGCTTCTTGAGCCCGGCCACCGACATGGTGCGGGAGGCCGCGCGGGCAGCTGCGGGCACGAGGAAGAGGCGGCTGCGGAGCGAGCCTGGAGGGCCGGGCCGGGCGGCGCGCTCGCCGGGCCGCCGCTCGTCGTGCCGCCGCCGGGGCTGTGGGCGCGGGGGCGCGGAGCGGCGCGGGACGCGGGCTCGTGCGGAGAGACACCCTGACGTCAGGGGCGGGTGACGCGGACTCTTAAAGGGGACGCGGGAAGCCCCGCCCCGGGCGCGGGGCAGGAGAGGCAGGTGGTGCTGCGCGAGCTACCTGGGCGCGGGCGCCGTTCCCTGGGGCCTGGAGCCCGGGGCGCCGGGGCGCGAGCTGCCTGGCTCGAGGGCTAAGGGCGTCCTCCCGCCCAGGGAGTGTCGCTCGTGCCCCGGTGGACTGCGGACTGGTCGCTGCAGCTGGGTAGTTCGGGCACTAGCTCGACTCAGGTGACTTCTTGGCTTGCAGGTAGCAGCTGAGGCGCTGCCTGCAGGCGGTCCTGCCCTTTGAGCTTGGCCTTTTTGCAGCCAGAAAAAAAAGGAGGCGCGGCATTCTGTCTGCGATCGTGATTAAGTCTTTGCTCATTCTCTGCCTTGCTCCCTCTAGGTCACAAGACAACGTTTCTCTGCTGCGGTTTCGATATCCCTTAAGCCTACGTAACGTTAGGGAAAGTCACCGAATCTTTTTAGTTGTTTGCTTTATGCAATTTAACCATTTAATCACTTAAAAAGAAGAAAACCTTAAAGCTGATCAGAAAAATAGAATTGAAGTGAGATCATTGCTTTACTACAGTAACAGCATTTAATGCTGTGTTTGCAAATATGGAAAAGCCCAAATATGAACTAAGCGTTTTCTTATGATAGTGAATGTGGGGTTTTCCAGCCAAAATAAGTATTATATAATGTGGAAAAGCATGCTGCTAAGTGGACAAATACTACATATGTAACAAACCGTATATGGCTGAGCTAAAACTACCCTCTGCTGGAATTAGATTAATTGGTAGCAGAGCAGCACTGGGTGTCAGCTGTGTTCTGGTAGGTAGCTGCTACCTCTGCTTGGTCTGGGACTGAGGAGCATGTAGAAAGGAAGTTGAAAGCTTTCCCCAGGCTGAGTCCAAAGTTACAAAGAGGAGAGGCAGAACAAAGTCCCTAGATGACAGTCAACCAACATTTAACCTGGATGAGAAATAAACCTGAGTAATTGTAACCCAGTGAGTCTGGAGTTGTCACTGTGGCAAAACTGGTCTTTCCTGACTGATGCACGGAACAAATGCTTTCCCAAAGATGATCTAGATGCTCCAGGTCTTCCCCATGTATATTTTGTCGTTGTCATTAAAAATGGCCTGCTTTTTTGGGCTTCCCTTGGTGGCACAGCAGTTGAGCGCTGGGCTGCGAAACTGCACGCAGCCTCTGAAGCGCCGGTTCGATCCCCGGCCGCCGGCAAGGGTCCCACATGGCACGCAGACCTCTCCTGCCGCCTGCTTCTCCCCTCAGCAGTGTACTTCATCAGTCTGCCTGTTCTGTCCCCAGCTCTGGCTCTGGTGAATTCTCTCACCCTCCCGCGCTTCTGACTGTACCCAGTGTTTGTATAAATGAATAAATAAATCTTAAAAAAAAATGGCCTGCATTTTTCTTACAAAAACCATCACTGGAGTTTGGAGAAGTATATTCTCTTTTATGCAGACTCTGAAGCAGTGTGTAGACCTAGCCCCAGGCCCTGAGTGTCAGAGGGATGGTGATTCATGCATGGACTTTTCCCTGACCTCTTACATTGCATTTTTTCTAACGTTGTGGAGAGGATGAACAGTAAGATATGGTGATCAATTTCTTTTTTTTTAATTGCAATAACATTGGTTTACAACCTTATATGTGATTCAGAGGTATAGGATTGAGTCCCAGGGCAAGTTTAGGGTTAATTAGGCAACTACTGGGATGGTGCAGGCAGGGACTTCGGGACAGTTAAAGAGGCTTCTGAGATAAGGACAGTAAATTCTAAGAAGTGCTAACCAAAATATACTCCAGACATAGAATGCTAATAATGTTTGTGCCGCTGGGGCAGTTTGTAAAATGTAGCATGCATCTAAACATTAAGCTGAACAATGGAACATTTCATCAAGGATGAGCCTTGGTTGAAGCTGTGATTTCTCTCCAAAGCAGAAGGTCCTGAGTTTCTTGAGCTTTGGTCTCCCGCTGTGAAAGCTCTAAAATGGGGACCTGAAAAATCTCCTTAAATTTTTGAATACTTCATGGAACCCTAAATTAAACAAAAGCAAGTCTCTCTCTTTTTCTGGTTCCTTTTCCACCAACATATAAGGTTTATCCTGTTATATTTCAAAGGAACAACCTTGAGAGGAAGAGCTTTCTAGGGACATTAAACCCTTTTCAAACCATGACAAACTCTCAGAGATATTCCTGGATCTCATGTAAAGTCAGTATTTCTACAGAAGACCTATGAAGACCTTTGAGACTTGTAATGCTCCTCCTCCTATCAGGCACTGGGGTAGTAGTTACTAGGGGATGGTCAGGTAAGATTCCATAAGGAGTGTGACCTTGAACACCACAGAGTTTCCAGGCCAATAATTTAGAAACCCTTCTTCTAGATAGATATTGTGACTTGAAAACAGAGGAATGCATGCACCAGAAACTGGAAAAATTTCAAACCTGAGTGCCCTCTTTGGTGGCATGGAAACTGTGACAGGCTCTACAGAGAAATACTGAAGCACAATGCAGGGGAAGGGAAATCAAAGGTCAATGAGGAAGAACTTCATTTAATAGAAGGTTGTTGTAATTCAACTACCCTGTCGTCTCCTGAGATCAAATTAATGCAAAATGGTAAATAAACCTAGATCTGCTCAGGAACATTCCAATTAAATGAAACCCCCCACAGCACCACCTCACTAATTGGACAGGAAATTCATGGTCAGCAGTAATCCCATTGCATCATTTATGCACTATTTCTCCTTGCATTATGCCAAAGCTGCTGGCAAATACCAGACATCTCATTTGCACAGAGCCACTGCATCTCTGGTGTCCTTCAGAGGACTCCTCTTTCCAAAGAGGCAGAAGATAGGAGACATTGCTCACCATTTTGCCCTTCAGCCTCTGACACTATTCCTCTGGCCACAAGGGCAATCTGCTCCAGGCATTAGGTATAAACTCCTGAGGGCTGGAAACAGAGCCAACCAAAGTCATTCAATTCCAATGTCTTATTTTACAGATGAGAAAACAAAAACAATGACAATGAAAGGAAGGGATTTACTCCTTGTTACTTTTTCTATTCCATGCCCTAGCCTCAATTCAGGGCAGAGCCTCCAGTCAGTGTTCACAAATATAGACTGAAATGAATGAAAAAAAATTGAACCATTTATCACTGTCACTGATGCCCTATTCTACAACAGCCTTGCCCTGACAGTCCTGAATTGAAGTTGTGCAGGACCCAGGCAGTTGTTCAGGGGTGGAAGACATGTAACATAAGACTTTGTACCTATGGTTGCTGCCAGTAGCCCCACCCAGCATAGACAGGGCTCAAAAACCTTATCCCAGAGGGGGCCTCTCTAAGAGGGGGTCTCCCTCGTGGTGAAGGGGTTAAGTTTCAGTGCTATCAAGCTGTCGCCAGCCACTGCAGAAGTTCGATCCCCGGAGAGGGAGCTGACCCACATGGCACAGCAGACCTCTTCTGTCCTGCCTGCTGCTCCCCTCAGCAGTGTATTTCAGTAGATCCGCCTGCTCTGCTCCTCACTCTGTCTCTGGTGAATCCTCTCACCCCACACACCTCTGGCCTATACCTCATTTCTTGCATGCATAAATAAAATCTTTAAAAAAAAAAAAAAAAACCTCCCAGAGATGACCACCTTCATTTCCTTGTTTCCAGGTCTGTTACCTGCCATCCACCCACCAACAGATACACAGAGAAGAGCACATGATTTTTTTTAAATCTCTTAGAAGTAGATTGTCCAGATCTTTCCCATCTTCCCCCTCACATTTCTATATCTCCCACATAGTCTCCTCTCCAAAGCACGGGGACAAAAACTTCCTCTCCATTTAGCTAAGCCCTATTTCAAGAGGAGTAGGTGGAGATCAAGTGGGGGACTCAAGTAAGGCTCTTCCATCTGGGTCCATGTTTACTGTTTGCCTCTCAGTTTAAAATACTTCCAACTTCCCTAACAAATCCTGCTATTTTCAATGCCATCTCCAGTGTATTTTCTTTAAAGTCTTTCCCCATCCTTCTGACCTTAAAGTTTTTGTGAAACCCCAAGTTTTGGTGCTGCACCTCTGCCGTGAACTTGGTCCAGTGTGCATTGTAGATACTGATATAGAGTATTAGATTTTTTTTAATATTTAAAGAGCAGGTTTATTAGGGAAGGGATAAAACAGTTAAAGACACTTGCATAGACACAAGTGGGCAGGAAGAGCTGCCCCAGAAAGGACAGGTTTGCTAAGAGAGGCCTGCATGGTTGCAGGCGGGCAGCCTTGACAGGTCACAGGCAGGCAGGATGCTGCTGACCTGCAGAGAGAGAGAGTTGTGAAAAGAGGCACCTGCATACTCACAAGTGGGCAGACGGAGTGCTGCTAGAGCATTAGATTCTTAACTCTTTGGGTGTAAGGGGCTTATCTTTCCTTTTACAATTCTTAGCAGATAATATAAACATCCAGTCAATTAGTCGATGGGCTAATTGATATTTTAAAAGCCTGAAGAAACTTAAAAAGGTGGACACAGCAGAGAGTTAGAAAGACTGGAACTAGCTTGCTTGCAGCTCTTATAGGTGCTGCTCCCTCACTGTATCCAAGCCTGGATCTCCAAGTCAATTTTGAGAGTCCAAGATAATGTTCCCGGAAATCCCGCTTTGTTCATTCAGTCAATATGCTTTCTCTTTCTTGCAGTCCATAAATTTAAAGTGATCTATGCTCTCTGACCCTCAACCCCAACAGCTATTTCAACCTCAGACTTCCTTGGGATCCAGAAACTCACATAAAGAAATTAAGGCATCTCTAGTTCTTGCTAAGCATTGCATTCGGTTTCCTTCTCAAAGGAGGGTAGGGAGATTGAGTGACAAGGAATTCAGTCCTTCAGTAAATGTCAATTCTCCCTGTAAAACATTGACAGGCTGATTTACAAATCAAACCTTTTGTTTATTTGATTAGTATGTGTCAGGCTGCCAGCACATAAACCTCTCGAGCCCCTGGGAATTG